TGTTTGTGTTTTTCTTTAGTTTTCTTGTGTTGTTTCATTTCTTTTACACTTCTTTACTCATTTCTAGTTTCCCTCTTTCATTTGTGCATTTGTGGTGTGTTAATTAAGTGTTCTTTACGTACTCAAATTAGAACTTATAGGAAGCCGACAAGTTCTTCGTGGGATCGACCCCGTACTTACATAATCTATACTTCGATAGATTCGTGCACTTGCGGGTATTTTTAATTGGTTGTTTGCACATTAAATTGTGTCCTTTTAGGAATGCAACACTCACGCTCGAGGGTTGTTAGGCGGACTTCCAGCTTCTGATCCATCTCATCTTGCATCTGATTCATAGCTTTCAAAATTCTACTTTCTCCAGCATGCTCTCTTCCATTAGGGCGGACTTCAGACTGATTGACTTCCCGATCACGATCGACCTCACGATCATGATCATGACTGATTTCACGATCGCGATTACGAGGTCGTACTTACTGAGCTTTCTTTTCCTCAAGTAAATATCTTAGGTCAAGATACTCCTTTTGTCTTTCGGCTAGCATACTAAAGAAACCAGAGAATGGTTGTGAAGGCTAGGCTCAAAAGTTTGCAGCTTCCCACAGATCATTCCATTAGGAGATCGGGGATGGCTCTCACCCTTTTCATCGTCATGTCCCTCACGCTGAAGTTTGCCTCGGCGTTGGGGTCTGCTACTTTGATGATCTCTATGTTCCTAAGACCACTCTTCTAGCCATCGTTGTCTTCCTGTATGGATCTTCTCGGCTTCCTCCATGACCTCCTTGTTTTGATCACAGAGTTCATTAATGTCTTTCCTCATCTCCATCAGGTAGGTCTCAATGTTAGTTAGGCGATTGGATTTTCTCCTTCCTTTCCTCGACGTAGCGGGGGTGACGAGTTCGTCGGGGCTGGACTCTTGACTCATGTTGTCAAGTAAGTGGTTGTTGTCTAAAAACTTAGATGAAAATCAACAAGAAATCAATTCCCATAGACGGTGCGAAACTGTTAATGCCTAAAATTAGTTCAACAGAAGATGACCTCTTTGAGATTGAGGTCGGGCAATTCTTCAGGACTAGGTTAGCATGACCAACCAAGTCGTCTTCTAGAACCTGCAAAACAAGATAAGCTAACGGTGGGTAACACCAATGCGATGCCTGCCAAGGGCCCTCCGATGCTTAAGTCAGTTGAGTGTTTGAGAGCAAAAGTGCACAATAGGTTCTAGTGCTCAGAATTGCGTACCTTTGATGGAGGATGGCCTTAGCCTTTTATATCATCCCAGAAGACTTAATCCTTCTTGAAGCGGAACTTGGGAGCAAACCAGCTCTCCTTGAACTAGGACTCTAGAACAACCTAATCCTCCTCAGACTAGAACTCCATTTAGATAAACGTTTTGGTGATCTCGAAACATCCCAACTTCTCCAGGACTAGAAGTCCTTTGAGTGAACACCACGTAAATCAGGTTGATGTCAACCTCATGTGCACTGGGCCCAAGCTCATGGACCAATGGGCCCACAAGCCCACACGAGTCAGGGTGAAAAAATATATGGCGACCAGGCTCGAGCCCAACCTGACCACTAACACCGTGGTCTAGCCCAGCTCGACCACTAACACTGTGGTCTAGCCCAACTCGATCATTAACACTGTGCTTTGGCCCAGCCCGACCACTAACATCGTGGTCTAGCCCAGCTCAACCACTAACACAGTGCTCTGGCTCAGCTCGGCCTCGAGGTATTTTACCTCACAAACACAAGTGATTTTTTTTTTGTAGAGATGATCTTTAAATGAATATCTAAAAAATAGACAGTTTGGATTAGTAAAATAAAATACATAGTGGGCCCTACAAGTCCCTCAAATAAGCTTATTTGAGGGATCCCTCAACTGAAGCTCTCTCTCTCTCTCTCTCTCTCTCTCTCTATATATATATATATATATATATATATGTATGCGTATATGTGATTGAAGCAAGGAAAGTACGGAAAAGTTAAGAGTAGTTCTCAATAGCTCAAGGCTAACAAGGGTCTTATTCATCTTTAGTGCCTACTATTTAAAAGCATAGGAAATACATCAACATTTACCACCCATAAGTGGTGATTACAAGACAAAATTACAAATGATAAATATTGTAAATATAGTCTTTAGTGCATGAGTTACAACCCTATAATGATAGGTTTTATGAGTGGTGTGTGAACATATATTTCAGCAACCAATAAGAAGATGACACGTGGAGAAAGGAATATTCCTTAGGTCAACTATTACCATAATTAAATTCTGTGTAATTAGGGAATTAATATTTCTCTAAATCAAGGATCCGATTTCCAACAAATGTCTTTGATTAATTCCTATAATCTTTTTTGGGTAAAAATAATCCTAATTAAATAGTGATTATTCTTCAAACCCTAGCCAAGCAAGGAGTTTATAAACAGATGGCTACACAACACACTTGAGGTAATTACGAAAACCCTAGCAACTTTCTCTCTCTCTCTCTCTCTCTCTCTCTCTCTCTCTCTCTCTCTCTCTCTCTCCCCTCTCTCCCATAAAGCTCCGATCACCCACACACAAGGCTCCGTGCCGCCTGGCTCTCCCCATGAGAGAAGACCTCCATCCTTTCCATTACTTTGTCGTATCTCCCTAAGATCCAATTAACTGACTTAGACATCAGAGGGCCTTTGGCCAACACCCCCTGGGTGTGGTCCGTTGACTCCAACTTGTTTTACAAGGAGCGAGGTAGAAGAAGAAGAAGGAAGTTTGAAGGGCGAAGGAATCAACCCACAAGTAATCCCTCGTGTGAATATTTACACAAACAAGTGGAATTATAATTGACTTATGATGGCTATTATGGTGGGTATCCATTACCTTTGAGTTTACAACACTCCCCCATAGATGTCCACTATGCATGGAGTGTGCCTCGTTAAAAACATTGCCAGTAAAACTCGGTGGGACATAATCTAGTCGAAGGGGAAAAGAGTACTTATCCATGTATAATATAGAACATGTGACACTGCCTTATCAAAACATTGCCAGGATCCCTAACGTTAATATAGGTGCTCTTAAATAGTCCTTCTGTAAATAAAAAAACTATTAAATACAAGGATATAATTATCTAATCGATCCAAAATTAT